TTTTTTTTTTGGTTCAAATCCTATCTGATTTGAATACCCTCTCACGTTTTGTGAATGTAGCAACTGTATATGAGAAATCACAGGCTTGTTTGAGGTTGCAGCGATCAAAAACAGTGTAAAAAATTTTGAGCAACAGCTCATCGAGAGCTATTTCGTGCTGTACTGTTTGCTTTGTCCTTTGTGGCACTCAGTGGTAATATTTTCTTGTAGCTTTAGACACATATGGTCAGCGAGCAGAGCTATCCAAGGTGTGCTTTGATGCTCTGTTATCGATGTGTCAAAGCGGCGAGCAACCGGACATCATACGAAGCGCAGCGGCAATTCGTTTTGTAGCAGCTGGTAACAACTCTGTTTTGTTACCAGTTTTCATAGTTATTTTTGTATTGCAACTAGAATTTTTTAGTGCTGTTATTAACTGTTTGAAATACTAACTATGTTTTGATTAATGAGCATGATTTTCGTTTTTGTAGAACCACACTCCGAGGAATTGCTGGTATCGGAGGGAGCAGAAAGCAGGCAGCAGTGCATCTCATCATCAGGTTTAGGCACTTCCGCCATCTCATCGTTGCTCGCTCGATGTAAACAAGTAATTTTTTTTACTTCTCGTTGCAGAATGCATAATATATTTCGTGTCTTTTGTTCTTTCCTTTTTATGCAATTCTCATAAAGCAATTCTGTGCTGAAATTTTGTGCCGAAACTCATCCACCATCATCATCTGTCAGGTAATGCTATCATTCGCACGCGATGAGCTAAATGCCGGACAGTTGCGTCTGCCGCAAGAAAGAATCCTGGAAATGAGCTCCGTTTTGCATGCAGTGAGCACACTTATTGAAGGACTAGTGCGGCACGTTGACAATTTCAATCCAGAAATCTACAGAGAACTTGTTAACCTCTATCCATCTGTTGTGGATTGCGTCCCGAGTACGAGGGCAGACCTCCAGGTTTGTGCCACGTTCCTCTCTTTTGGTGTAATAGCACAGCAACACACTGTTTATCCAGGCATATTGCATAGATTAGTTTGCAAGAAAATTAGGCGTTGAGTCAATTTTTCGGTTTTTCCGGGTTCTTCGGAATCAGTGTTCTGCTTTTTTCCCTATTTCAGCGCTTCGTTTATTATTGTTGATGCATTATCGTACAGTCTGCAAGCTTATAAATGTTCTTTTTTGCAGGTGGAACAATCACTGATAAATGCTCTAAAATCGTACCAAGCGTTATTGCTATTGAATATGCGTAAGTTTGAGTAGGTACCAAATTGATGTAATATTTTGTTGCTTATCGTAGCAGTCTTCATCGAATCATTTATGCGATGGTGATGGATAATGCTGATACTCATTTTTATGTCACTACAAACTACCACTGTATAATGCGGGTTTCCCCTGTCTCTTCTGATAAATTGTTTCTCTCTCGAGCTGTGTATGTTTCTTTGTATCACATCTCTCTTTATTTTTTCCTCTGTATCTGCTCTTTATTTTTTGTATTCGATTCGTTTCGGAAGATAACTGTTAAAATATTCAGCAGCTGCTTCTTTGAAACTATAAATTGTGTTAGGTACATGTAACAACAAGTACACGTCAGTTTTTAAAATGGTCACTGGATGTATGTAGCACTCATATTTGGAATTTTTTTAAAAATACATCGAAGAGTCGTCTGAAATGAGACATTCCGATCCTCCATTAATTTATCCAGGAAAAAAAATATCAATTTTTTTCGTTTTCCATATCGATAAGTCATGTGCAGATTTCTTTAGTTTGTCCCATCAACCGCTGTCGTCATTCTTGATGCACATACTGTAAATTATTTAATAAGCATCTTCCTCTCCATGCGTGTAATTCATTTGTGTATATTTGTATGCGAAAAAAGAACGCAGTAGAATTTTTGGGTTTCGTTTTTTTCCTTTTTTTTAATTTGGGTTTGTTCTGTAGTATCGCTAAGCACCATCTGAATGATAAGCAAAATGAATTTTCTGTCCAGCATTTTGTTCATACTGCCAAGCGTGCTTACTGGGCGACGATGCATATCAGTGGAACGAAACCATTGATTTGCTGCTGGTCTCTCCTGTCGTACAACAACGATGCATGCGGGCGAACGTCTGTTTACTCACGTAGTAGTTACAGGTGAACTGTTCGCAGCATTGCTCTTTGTGTGCTTTTGAATCATGTAATGGTGAATTTTAAAAATGCAAGGGGGAGGGGGTCCAGCGGTAGAGGTATCAGTGCTACAAAAGACCGGGCCTAAAGCTAAAACTGAAGAAAACTCTTCCGCACTTACCCCGTCCCCCCCCCCC